TTACCTGTGCGACTCGGCGCTGTCGGCGCTGAGCTGCTTGGACAGCTGCCTGTGGCCGTAGGTGAGGGAGGCCATCAGGTTAGCGCGGTGCTGCATCTGGATCTGGCCGGCGCCGGGGCTGATGGCCATGCCCCGGGCGTGGGAGGACATGCCCTGCCCGCCCACGGAGGCCCCTTGCAGGAGGCTGTTGCTGACCATGTCGCCGGGCTCCTGCACTTGGATCGTGACCTGCTGAGGCTGCGACTGCTGCTGCAGGCCCAGGCACGTCAGCCCCATGCTGGGGGGAGGGGAACAGTTACCGGACTGCGGGAAGATTGCGCTGTGGGACGGCAGCCCTTGGAACTGGGACTGGGAGGCGGCACCTACGAGGAACAAAGACCCTCAGCACCCGCGCCGGCCCGCGGGAAGGCTCAGGAGCTGCCGCTCTGCTGGGCCACGCTGGGAGTCCCAGCACGTGTCCGTGGGCGGCGAGGAGCGCGGCTCCCGACCGCTCCGTCACGCCGCGCCAGCGGGCAAAGGTCGCAGCTAGAGCCCCTCGCGCAGAAAGAGAAACGACGCGGAGCTGACAGCGATTTGCGTACAGCCGAGGATATCGGCCCTTCCTCCCCACCCCCGGGAGCGATAAGGAAGGATCTTACGACAAGAAACCCAGCAGCACATTCCAGCTGGCAGCTCCCCGCAAGCTCTCGATAACACCAGCCCTTGCTGCCAGACGGAGAGTCTTTTACATCAGCAGCGAGCGGCGCAAGGACGAGGCCGCGGGGGGGGAACCGAAGCCCCCGGCGCCCCCGGACGCCGTTTTCCCCCCCCCGAGGCCTGACAGGACCGTGGGGTTCCGCCCGCGGCCCGCCCAGCGGAGCGCAGGCGGCTCGGCGAGCTGTCGGCGCTTACCGTGGGGCTGGAGCACGCTGCTGCTCACAGGAGGCGGGCTGCTGTTCGGTTGCCTGAAGAGATGGTTATTAGGGTGGCTCGGGGGCGGGCTGGACGGCTGAATCCGTAACCTACGCAGGGAAACAAGCACCTTTTCGTTCGCGCCTGCTCCTCGTTGCGATGCCTTTTCAACTGCGAGAGCTGACGCCAAGCGCTGCGCTTCTCGCCTCTTGAATGAACGCCATGAAGCCCTTGTTTGGGATGCCGAGCTCTTTACAGCTCGGCTCCTTCCTGACAGCCGCCGCCTTGCCTAGGCCACGCAGGCAGCGAGCAGAACCCGGTGGCTGCAACAGAAGCCCCGGGACGAGGGCCCCGCCGGCTCGCCTCCTGACTCACCGTGGCCGGTGAGAAACCTTCTCTTCTCCTTCCCCGTAATTCTGCCTGCCTCGCCTACGAGCCGGGCTGCCGGAGCCGAGGACGGCTCCCTAACCCAAAAGCCGGAAAAGGCGCGAGACGTCCAGCAGCAGCTCCGAGCGGAAAGCCCGCGAAAACCGGCTACTGAAGGCAACGCGTTTTCCAGCCGGTCACGAGGCAGGACTGCCAGGCGTCCGTTCAAAGGAGATCGGCGCCTTTGAATCCCGTTTCTCTGCTTCCAAAAGTCCTTCAGACAGAAGCCAGCTAAAAGGACCGGGCACGTTCGCCTGGGAGCCGGCTACGCCACGCTAACTCTATAGGCTTCCAACTCGGCCCGGGCCTCTAAGTGCATTAGCTCGTCCCTGGGCTCGAGGAAGAGTAAAGCCCGCGCCCCAGCGCTTCGCTAAAGCAACTCCTTTACCTCTGAAGCTGGTGAGTGAGCAGAGCTGGCTGGTTTTCACACGGAGCTTGCAAGGGCGGAGATGGCTGGGGAGGCCGGATGCAGTCCTGAACCGGGCACCGGAAGAGAACGAGAAGTGTTTGCAATCAGTAACGCCTCAACTAGCAAATTTAGAAACCGCTCCTGGTGGAGCGGGACGCATCCAGATTCGCCCAGCGCTCAGTCCCTGACCGCAGCTCTGGCTGTCACGTGCAGTCATCACCGCTGCAGCCCTCCAGGCTTGCTCCTCGTTACAGCAAGCCGAGCAATCCACCCCCCCTGCGTCCCACCGGGACCCGCTCAGCAGCTGCCTCTGCAGCAGTGCAGGAAAACACAGCTGAGACTTCGGCAGGCCCGGCTCGGGCTCCGGTACCTGAATCTGCTGATGAAGAATCTGATGGTGCTGCTCCTGCTGGTACAACATGTGCTGCTGCTGGGTCTTCTCCAGCGTCCTCTCGTCCATGTGCCCACCGTACATCTTCTGCAGCTGCTCGCACTCCTGCAATGAATCCAACGCGCCCTCTGAGCGACCTTTCGGTGCACGGCACGCTCGCTGTGCAAAAGGGCACTCTCTGCGGCCTACCCCCCTGGAAAAGCCGGGAAAGACAGGCTAAGCCTTTTCACCTGCCAGAATCGGGCGCGTAATAACACGACTAGCTCGAGCCTCAGACAAGAGGAAAGGAACAGATGCACGCGACGCCGAGCCGGTACCACGGCGTTCCCTTAGAAACGCAAGCACAAAGCTCTAGCAACGACAACTTCGAGGTGAAAAGAGCACCTCGCGTTGCGGCCGCCTTGCGAGGTGAAAGTCCTGGCCCGGGGCCAAATCCCACTCAAGCCGTCGATAAGACGAGCAGGGAACAGCACAGGATGCGCTCCAAGCTCCGGCGGCAGGAGCTGCCCCTTTCCCGGGCCACCCTGGAGCGGCCGTGGGAACGCGGGAGAGCAGCGGCCGCAGTCTGACAGCGCCGGCGGGACCCGCGAGGGCGGGCACAACAGCCCACGCGCGGGCACAACAGCCCGTGGTTCGCTCCCCAGAAAGAGCGGGGTGCAAGCCCCCGGCGCTGCCAGCTCGCAGGCGAACAGCACGCGCGTTTAGAGGACGCTCAGCAGGGCTGCTCCAGACAGACAGATCTCCTCGGCTGGGAAGCCGCTGCGTGCCCGCAGCCATCTCCCCCCCCTTTTACCTGCTGAAGCTGTTTGATGCTGCTGTTATTGCCCATCTTCTCCAGGTGGGCTTTGAAAGCCTGGATGCTGGCAGCACCATCAGAGAAGCGCCGAACCGGGGAGAAGCGTTCGGTGGGGAGGTGCAGAGTATTTGAGTCCTTGTAAATAGAACTGAACACATGGGGAAGCGGGTTAGCGGTGCCAGCTGAAAACCAAAGTCCGGTACAGAGACATTTCGTTGACGCCGGCCGCGCCAAATCCTGCCTGCCCGCTCACCCAGAACAGACCACGTTTTAGATCGAGAAATAAAGCGCCATCATCACCGCGAACGGGAAGCAGGACCCCCCCGGGTCCTCGGCGCCTGGGCAGATAAACGCGTTTTAAGGTTGGAGGCGCCTCGGCCACAACCCGGCTTCCGGATGGGCAGCGACTCGTCGTCCATCCATACGGATGCGCCTGTCCCTCAGACGGAGAGGGTTTCCAGAAACCATTCGGCACCCTAAAAACGTAAATTCTCCTCTTCGGTAGCCACCTCCCGAGCCTTCCGGCTCCCCGGGGCCCCTGCCTACATCTGATGCCTGGCGGAAAACAGGAGGGGCACGTGGGGGAAGGAGCCTGCCGTGGTCTGCGGCCCCCGAGGAGGAAGGGGGCTGGCATCCGTGCTCAGAGAGGCACCGAACCAAAAAGAGGGCAGGAACCTAGCCCCGCACGGTAGGGGAAACCTTCCTGATGCGTTAACCAAGCCGTCACTTCACGCCCAGAGTCTCCCAGTCGCCCGGATGCCCGGCAGCGGGCGATCAGAACGGGCACGCGTGAGAAGCAGACGTAGCCAGTACCGAGGCAACTGTGCCCGAGGAGCTACGGCGCTCTCCCTTCACAATGAGGTTTCTTCTTCGCCATCCGAGGGAGCCAGATTTTTTTTCCTGGAGCTGTCCTCTCCCGAAGCTGGGGCTCCCCCTTATCAAAGTCAAGCGCCAAGCTCCTGCCCTGCCGTTAGGTGCGACCTGCCTTACCGACAGCAAAGCTAACTTTCCGTGCCCGCGCCGCAGCGCGCCTTGTAACAAACCAGAACCGGCTTTCTCCGCCTGCCCTGACGGTTTCTGTGCAAACGCGACCTGTACCACCCAGCGAGCAATGCTTAAAATACAGGCGCCAACCGCGGCCTTTGGCCGCGAGAAGGTCACGGAGATGCGGCCTTCACAGCGCCGCTGACGTCCTGGCACCAAACCCCCCAGGAGCCCGTCGGGCTGCGCGCTGGCGCGGTCCTGAACCGCGTTACCGCAGGCACGTTACTGCCGTGGCCGCTCGGAGCGCGGCTGTTCACCGAAGCCTCTTCCAAGAAGTGAAACTATTTCTCCTGGAGGGGCTCCCGTTATCAGAAGGCGCCGGGCGCCGGACCACTTCCAGCACGCTGGGCTTGGTTCCTGTCGCTTGGTCTGCCTCGGCAGGACGCGCTTCAGTTTCTATAGGTGACACGCAGCCTTCTTCCAAGGAGAGCGCTGTGCCCCCGCCTCTTGATGCCATCCCCTCCGCTATCCCGACCCATTTCATCTCCGGTTGCTTTGACGGAAAGCAGGAGCTAGAGATGAAACTACGCTGAGGCTCCCGCACCCGCGCGGCCAAGGCAGAACCACCGTACCGCCTCGTACCGTCGTCGTACTTCAATTCTGCCTCCAGCTACTAAGCCATCCTGGCCAAAGCCGGGCGCTACTGGAGAAGGTGGCTTAAAATACCTCAAGCGCTAAAACGAAACCCACCTGCCGTTCAGTAACTGAGGTCTATTTACGTGTGACGACGCAGGACCGCTAACGGTTTCTGTGCCGTACGTGTCTCGGACACGACGCGGGGGGGATCTGCTTAGGCCGCGGTCAGATGAAGTTTCCGTGACTTCGCGGGTAAAACGCGAGGCAGGCTCGCAGCGCGTTACCGCGCCGAGGGTGGAGCGGGCAGACGCCACCCTGTTGGTGATGCGACAGCCTCGGGACTCCAAAGCCGAGAGGCAGAGGCACGTTTCCAGGGCAAGCGTGTTTTAACGGTCCGGTAAAAAAAAAAAATCAATCCCGGCAGCGCGTGAGGGACCCAGCTTACCTTCACGATCTGAAGCAATCCTTAAAGCAGGACACAGCACATTCTTGTTTTGCAAGCTGCACTCCTCTTCCTATCAGGCTGTGACCCTCGA